TAAAAAAACAAAAAAGTCTCAATTCATTTTTTTTTTTTTTTTTGTGGATGCTCACTAAAAAAAATTAGATTTTCTATCTCTATTTACTATATATTTAGTTTACTCGGTCAAATTGAATTTTAAAGTTCAAAAGGAGTGGGATCAATTTTTGTTAAATAAATATATTAATTTCGTCAAAGGAGGATAAACATATCAGCCAATAATGCAACATAAATTAAATTCTTTTCTCTCTTTCAACATTAATCCTTCCTACCAAAACACCATTAAATAGTGGAGCTTGCAATCACAAAATCTCAATAACCCAACCATGAACAAGTATTACTCTTCTCCATTAATCCCTCTTTTTCTTGCCTTCATTTTTCTATCTTCATCTCGATTCTGGACCTTAGCGGTTGCTGACAAACATGAATCCTTTCTACAGTGTCTCCTCAATCACTCTCCCGATGGTAATTACTCTATTTCTAAAGTCATACACACTCCAATCAACTCCTCTTATTCTTCTGTTTTAGACTTCTCCATTCGAAACCTTAGATTCTCGACGGCTGAAACCCCAAAGCCACTCCTCATCATAACACCATCACATGTTTCCCACATCCAAGCAGCCGTTGTTTGCTCCAAACGCTATGGCTTTCAAATCCGAACTCGAAGTGGTGGCCATGATTTTGAGAGACTTTCCTACGTAGCCCATCTCTCATTCATCATAGTTGACCTTATAAATCTCAGGTCCATCTCTGTTGATGTCAAAAACAACAATGCATGGGTTCATTCTGGAGCAACTCTAGGTGAACTTTACTATAGTATTGCTCAAAAAAGTCGAACCTCGGCGTTTCCAGCAGGTGTTTGCCCCACGGTTGGAGTTGGTGGACACTTCAGTGGTGGTGGATATGGATTGTTGCTGAGGAAATATGGTCTTGCTGCTGATAATGTGATTGATGCTTACTTGGTTGATGCGAATGGGAAGTTTCACGATAGAGAGTCGATGGGGGAAGATTTATTTTGGGCCATTAGAGGGGGTGGTGGAGGGAGCTTTGGAATCGTGGTGGCGTGGAAGGTGAAGCTGGTACCAGTGCCCGCGACTGTGACACTTTGCCAAACTAACAGAACTTTGGAGGAAGGTGCAGTCAAGCTAACCCATCGGTGGCAATATGTGGCCAACAAATTGGATGAAAATCTATTCCTAGGCATCCTTTGGCTTGGTATTCTTTCAACTTTTTCCCTTTTTGAGTTATTTGTTATTTATTTATTCCTTTTCATTGTGAGGTCACATTGAGTAGAGTAGAAAAGTGAATGAACAAACACAAAATCTAAAAAGAGGGATTTTGGGACTATGCAAGTAAATAGTTAAAAAATGCTTAAAAAAATACAAAAGAAAAAAAGAAAAAAAAAGTATACATTTGTTTTCAGTGGCTTAATAATATAAACTTCAAAATTAAGCCTGCTTGGCTTGAAACAATTTTATGTTTTGATTTAGAAACATTTTCTAAGTACGAAATCTTTGTACAAATCCTTTCATAAATAAATATTAAAATGGAAAGTCACCACGCAATGTCAAATAATTTTAAAATAATAATAATAAATAAAAAAAAATTACATTTGCTTTTTACCCATTCATTGATTGAGTAGAATTAAGGACACGCAATTTTAATTTTATATTAAAATAAACATTAAATTGACTCATAGACTTTGATTTTTGACAATTATCTATCTTATGTTTGAGTAAGGTATTAGTTCACAACTTAAATTAAGACTCATAGACTATGATTTTTGGACAATTGTCTATCTTATGTGTTTGAGAAGGGTATTAATTATTGATTCACAACTTATTTAGATTCAATCTTTCATGTAATTTAAAAAGTTAAATTACAATTTTTTATTTTGTTGAGTACAATTAAATTAAAAACTTAGTCTATGAACTTCTAAAGTTGTATATAGGCCGATAAGTTTTTTAAAATTAAAAAGTGCCGAATATGTCTGAAGTGTATAATAGGTCTTTTAAATTTAAATTTGCGTGTCCATAGATCCTTGACTTATTAAACCTTTTTTAAAATTCATGAACCTCTTAGAAACATAAAGTTAAATTTTATCCATTGGACCGTAACTTTTCGATTCAGAGATTTGTTAGTCTATGAATTTTAAGAAATGCCTAATAAATTTAGGAACTAAACTTACAATAACTCAACCAAATTAAAGTTTAAAGCTAAAATAAACTTAAAGACTAAAAAGGGAAAACATAAACTTTAAAAACATGTCTCAATCCATCACATTATACAGAAGTATGAAGTTGGGTTTTTCCCTTTTAAAAAATCTCATATATCAAATCACTACAAACACACAAATTTGGATGATTTGAACTCAACTCTTGATGGTAGGTGGGAATGTTACAAGTCAAGGAGGAGGCAAAACAAACCCAGTAGCTACATTCTTCTCTTTGTTTCTTGGCCAGGCAGATGAGCTTCTGGCAATCTTGAACACAAAATTTCCTGAGCTAGATCTGGCAAAGAAAGACTGTATAGAAACGAGCTGGATTGAATCCACTGTCCTTATGGGCATCGGATTTCAAACTAAGGTGACCTTGGAAGCTCTGCTAAGTAGAACACCTCTCACCAATATAAGCACAAAAATCAAATCTGACTATGTCAAGGAACCCATTTCTGAAGCTACAATCCAGGGCATAGGGGAGAGATTAAACGCTCAAGATATAGAAAGCGGAAACCTTATATTTGTTCCCTATGGTGGGAGAATGAGCCAGATTTTCGAGTCGGAAACTCCTTTCTCACATAGAGCTGGATATTTGTACAAGATTGGCTACATCACCTCATGGTTAGACCAAAGCATTGATACTGAGAAAAGGCACCTGAGTTGGATACGAGAGCTTTACAGTTACATGGCTCCTTTCGTTTCAAAATCGCCGAGGGCTGTATATGCCAATTACAGAGATCTTGATATTGGATCAAATAAGAGGTATGGAAAGACAAGCTACAAGCAAGCCAGCACCTGGGGGTTCAAGTATTTTGGGAATAATTTTAATAGGTTGGTGCATGTTAAGACCAAGGTTGATCCTTACGATTTTTTTAGGCATGAGCAAAGCATACCCACCCTCGGACAGACGATACATCTTACTGAAATAAGTGTGATATTATATTATTTTTACTTGTGTTTAAACTATGCCTCAACCTAGCTATTTTCTGTAGTAAAATAAGGGGCATGTACTTTACAAACATATATCTATGCATCCAATTATAGGTATGTTTAGTGTGTTTGGTGTAATAAAGTAAGTTTTTTTTTCTTGAATCCATGTGATACATATATATATTTTGAAGAAATATTACTTGAGTATGTATGTGAGGAACATATGAAATGCTAAATAAAAGCTCCCCAATTAAGAGAAGTTAAAGAAGGCTCATAATTACAAAATACAGAAGATTTTGATGATCAAGAAGATGAAGATACAATGATGTCTTCCCAAATGTTGGCGGGTGTTTTTGCTACATCAACGAAGTGTGACTATTCCTTCCGGAGTCATATATGCCAAATAATTTAGCTAACTGCATTACTCCACAAGACATATCTCTTATTGGTAAGAGGTTTATCAAGGCACTCTATAATGAAATGATCAACTCATCTCGGGACCGAGATACAAATATAAAAAATGGAGAAAAGTTGGTTCCATAGGCCTGCACAAAAGTGGCAGTGGAAGAAAAGGTGATCTACAAACTCCGAAGCTGATTTACAAGGACAGCACCAATGGGGACTGTTGTAGACATTTGGGAGGCACTTTTGAAGTTTATCTGGAGTATTAATGCCTCAGTACAAGACACACCACCACAGAAAGAACTTCCACTTCTTAGGAATTAGCAGCTTCCAAAGGGCCGAGAAGAAATTTTGGGGCATGATTTTATTTGTAAGACGGAGGCTACCTTTGCAAGACTGAGTAAGATACAGATGATATACATCCTCTGATCCAACATCTCCATTTTTCATCCAATCCTTTCAGTTTAAGGATCGATAAAATAAAATGTCAATTGATCTTTGTCGAAAGCTTTCTCAATATCTAATTTTATGAGGATACCTTTTGAACGGGAACAGCGCCAAATGTCCACCATTCGTTAGCCATTAAAATGGCATCAGTAATTCGACGGCCATGTACAAAAAAGCACTTTGCTGTTGAGCAATGGTGGATGAGAGAACCTCTTTTAATCGATCAGCTAATACTTTGGCAAGTATCTTATAGATACTTGTAGTACGGCCATTTTTCTGGGGCTATGAACTTTTGAGATGGAGAGCTATGAAGGTTTCGTTAAGCACACGATTCACTATCCCTATTCTGAAAAAGTCATGGAACATCTCCTTTATGGATGGCTTGGAAATGTTCCAAAACCTTTTGAAAAATTCTATGGTAAATCCGTTTGGCCCGGGTGCTTTGTTGTTCCCCAAATTCCTTATGCTACTTAGAATTTCTTCATCTGCAAAGGGACGTGTAAGCCAAGATGCATGTTCGGTGCATAATATAAATACATATAATTCAAAGACAATATATACCAAATCTATATTTGAAATTTAATGGCTAAAGAAATTTGATAGATGAACCTTGGTCTTAACATGCATCCAGCCTCTTAAAATTATATTGTTTTCAAACTTTCCATATTTGTTGGTTGATCTAATGCATCAAAGTCTGTGTAGGTTATATTTTGTAACCAAAGGAGTCATGTATTCTTAAAGTTTTCAAAGCAAACTCTGGTGTTTGTCATTTGCATTGATATAATTTTGTACAGAAATCCTTTAAATATTTCTACAGATGAGTTTCTTGATTTTGATTATTTTATGTATTAAACTTTCTGTCATTTGTGAATTGGTTTGTGATCCATTTTCAATTTGAGTTTTAATCGGTCCAAGTAATAGTTTACAAACCTGGCAAAAGTAGAGGTGTTCATGGATTAGGTTGGGATCGGGTTGGAGAGTTTTTCTAGACCAACAGATTCCTCTACCCGATAGAACTGAAGCTACTAGGCAAATCAACCCAACCGAACCCTTAGCATTTTTTTGTTTCTTTTTTCTTTCCTTCTTTTTTTTTCCGATATAGTTGCAAATGGAGTTAGATTTTTTTTTTTTCTTTCTTCTTTCTTCCACAACTAGTTGCAAATGGGGTTGCTTTTTTTGTTCTTTTATTTTCTAGATCTATAGCTACAAATGGGATTGCTTTTTTTCCTTCTTTTTTCCAGATCTATGGTTTGGTGTTGCTTCTTTTTCTCCTTTTTTCCAGATCTATAGTTACAAATGGGGTTGCTTGTTTTTTCTCTTCTATGGCAAGCAAGACCGTGAGAAAGGTGAGTGCGAGATCTCGCGGCAAGAGACATTAAGATCAAGAGGTGAGAGATAGTGAGATCGAGAGTGAAAGATAGATCTGAGAAAGAGATGAGATAGAGATAGAGGATTGGAGAGAGAGATCGGTGATGGTAGAATTAATGACAAAATCAACATCGATAAATGATTTTAAACTTTCTTAAAATCAATTTTTTTAATTTTTCAAATATGATCCATAGGAAGGGAAGTAATTTTAACAATGGCAAAAGTCACTTCCAAACACACCTTTAATGATGGGTGATCAGTACAAGATATAAGTCTTCACCGTGCAAAACTAGTTCGGTTTGAATGATCTAAAACTATTTCGATTTAACCTACGAACCGAACTGAATAGGTCGTTTCTTTAAAAGCTTAACTCAACTCAAACTTGTACACCGTACTTTTGAATGTGAAAAAACAACTTATATTCAAAGATAATATGAATATATATAATTTAATCAAAGTGGTGAACAAAGATGAGACAATGATGCAAGTTGGTTGATTTTTACATATTTGTTTCTTCCAAAGGTAAATTCAAAGCAACCCACCTCCTTCACCTCCATTTAGGTATATTAACTGATGAAAAAATTAAATACCTCTCCAATAAGTTAAAATAAAATCTATTAAATATGGCAGTTGACTACCCTCTAGTAACCATTTGAATACGTCTGAAAATACAATTTAAAAACAATTTCATGCATTCAATGATGTAAAATTTACCAACCACATTGTCCAATCCCTCCAAATAATTTGTCCATTTGAACTAAAAAAAACCACCATAAATACATGAGCTTCAAAGCACACATTAAATCTCAAAAGCCTGCCATGAAGTACTCTTCTCCATTAATTCCTCTTGCTCTTGCCTTCTTTCTTCTATCTTCATCTTCATCATGGGTTGGAGCTTCTGCTGACAAATACGAAGCCTTTCTTCAATGTCTCCTCAATCACTCACCCGATAGTAATTTCTCTATTTCCAAAGTCGTATACACTCCAATCAACTCCTCTTATTCTTCTATTTTGAACTTCTCCATTCGAAACCTTAGATTCTCAACGGTTGAAACGCCAAAGCCCCTCCTCATCATAACACCATCACATGTTTCCCACATCCAAGCAGTCGTTATTTGCTCCAAAACTCATGCCTTCAAATCCGAACTCAAAGTGGTGGCCATGATTTCGAGGGTCTTTCCTACGTAGCTCACCTCCCATTCATCATAGTTGACCTTAGAAATCTCAAGTTCATCTCTATTGACATCAAAGACAACACTGCATGGATTCAATCTAGGGCAACGGTAGGTGAACTTTACAATAGTATCGCCAAAAAAACCCAAACCTTGGCATTTCCAAGCGGGTGTTTCCACCATGGTTGGAGTTGGTGGGCAGTTCAGTGGTGGTGGATATGGAATGCTGCTCAGAAAATATGGCCTTGCTACTGATAATGTGGTTGACGCTTACCTGATTGATGCGAATGGAAAGTTTTACGATAGAGAGTCGATGGGAGAGGATTTGTTTTAGGCCATTAGAGGGGGCGGCGGAGGAAGCTTTGGAATCGTGGTGGCATGGAAGGTGAAGTTGGTTCCGTTCCGACGACTGTGACTATTTGCTCAACTAACAGAACTTTGGAGGAAGGTGCAGTGAAGCTAATGCATCGGTGGCAATATGTTGCCAACAAATTGGACGAAAATGTGTTGCTGAACATCCTTTGGCTTGGTATTCTTTCAACTTTTTTGCTTGAGTTATTTCTTATTTATTAATTCCTTTTCCGTGAAATTTATCCTTTGTGACCTCGTATTGAATAGATAAAAGAGTACATGAATAAACAAATACATAGGGAAAGAGTGATCTTAAAACTAACTTTTGATTGAGTAGAATTAAGGACTCGCAATTTTTATTTTATTGGAATAAACATTATATTAAGACTTTTGATGCCAGAGTGAGCATAGTTCAGTCGTAATAATTGACATATATCTTCAATCAAGAGATTGGGAGTTTGAATCCCCTCCTCCATGTTCTATTAAAAAAAATATATACTGAGACTTTTGATTTTGTACAATTATACATCTATCTTATGTTTGAGTAGGGTATAAATTTACAACTTAAATTAAGACTTGTAGACTTTATTTTTTGACAATTYTGTATCTTATGTTTAAGAAGGGTATTTAAATTCACAACTTATTTAAATTCATTCTTTAGTCTAATGTAATTGGAAAMGCTAACATACAAATTTAGTCCATGAAGTTTTAAAGTTGAGTTTTTTTTTTCTTTTTTAAAAAAAGAGTTTTTTAAGTTTAAAAAGTGTCAAGTATGTCCAATACCTACTTTGTGTTTAGTAAGTTCCTAAATTTTGAAAGAATATATTACTGTCTTTTTAAATTTCAATTTGTCTGTTTAATAAATCCTTCATTTGTTCAAAAATTTATTAGATTCATGAACTAGTTAKACACACAAGAAATTTGTGTTTAATTATTCGACGTTGACTTTTCGATTTTGTGTTTAGYAGGTTTATGAATTTCAAGAAATGTCTAATAGATTTAGGTTAATAATTTAACCAAATTAGATAAAATAAACTTAAAGACTGAGAAAAGGAAAACATAAACCTAAAAATAAATAAATAAATAAAACTATCACTCCGTCCAAGGTTTTAAATGTTGATATAAATGGAAAWGTCGAGGTCTCAATTTCACGGAAATATCGATAAAATGTCAATGTCCATGGACATTTCTGTAAAAGTTATAGAAATTAAAAAATCGTAAAGAGTATTTAAATTAACAAATAAATTTTTTTTATATTTCTAATTAATTAAAAATGATTGCTCCTAATATTAATACTATATATATTGGTGACATTTGTTGATATTTTTCATATTTAATCAATTTTTTTGTTATACGATGGGAATGTCGATTTACATCTCATGTCAATGTCGTCTAACTCGTGGATACATAGAAATAAGATGA